TTCAGTTAAACTAAAACTAAAACTAAACCGAAGGGAGAGAGAGGAAGCAAAGTGTGCCCAGGGAGGAGGTGGGATATTTTCTACACCATTAGCCATAGTGGTATTTTGAAACATATTTATGTTTGTCTTCTGAAATATAACTTTATAGGGTCCTGATACTTTTTAAGTCCACATATTAATTCAGAAGGGAAAAAATGATATTGTTTCAGAACTTTTGTGGGATACTTCAAGGTAAAATTATTCAGAGCTGGATTTTGGGCTTTTAAGACATTAACATGCATTTTAAAAGCTTCTGGGTAGTTCTGGGTACAATTTTATAATACTGAATGCACAATGAAGCTCCAGTTTACTTGATACATGGACTTCATACATATGAGTTCTAATTCTGCTGCAATTTACAGCATTTGCATAATAATGCCAATTTGCAAGTGACAAATGATGTAATGTGCACTATCTGCTCTTTGGCTTATTACCATTACATACTATACAAAACCTAGCAGATTTATAATAGATTTACTGCCTTTATTTTGTTTAAATAATATGATGCATCTTCCTGGACTTGTTTAGTTTTCTTCTTCCTCTCATTTTACCACTGCTCTAAAAGGTAATTTGGACTGTGAGAAAGTGACTAGGCTAAAGTAACCCAGACAATTCCCATATCCAAGAGAGAAATAGAACTCATAATCTTCTGAGTTCTAGTCCAGATCTTAACCACTACACCAAAGTGACTCTTAATTTTCTCATTTGCATAAAAATGTCATTTATTTGTATTTCATTTAATATACTTTAGCATATAGTAGATATCCTCTAGTCTCAATCAACTCATTAAAATGTAATTGCAATGTATACTAATTTCTTCTAACTTTGTAGAGAGTCATAAATTATGGGTTTTTTAATTATTTGTAAATTTATGCAATGTATTTTTTCATAAATTAAAACTTAACAGTATCTCTAATTTCAGACAGTATTCTCTTAATGTGGACAAAAAGCCAATGACTCGTCCAAATAACCTTGATCGATGTCGGATGAAATCTCTTCCACAAAACATTGTAAGTTAGGCTATGTTAGTGTTGTAGATCAGCCTGATTTAGTGCCCTACAGTTGTAAGGAGACATGACATATTAGGTTGGTACCAGGTTAAGAATGGCTGCTCTAAAGAGATGGAATGCTTGCTCTACATTTCAGGAACAAACTTTGAATGCTGAGTGTGACATTATACATCAAACCCCAGGGGTCTGTTAGAATATTGCTTTTCAGAATTTCTCAAAGACAATACAAAGGCCTACAAGGTGAACTTTCTAGATCAATTAAATCCAGTTCATTTAGGCTTTATGTGTGAAAATATCTTATTTATTGCAAGGGAGAAAAACTGCATTGACAAAGGAGATCCGAGTAGTAGTCAGTCATACACATAACTTCTCTAGCACCAATCAGAATTTATATTAATGAACTCTACCAGGAACTGGAACTCCTCTGTAATAAAGTCTAGCATGGAATGGGAATGAAAAAGAGAATTATCTTTATCTGTGTATCTGGAAAGGGACTCAGAGAGGCAAAATGGTGGCCTCAACTATGCTAATGAAGCCCTACCCTTTTTTACATGCCTGATATTTGTTTCAAAAAGAACGATGAGAAAGTCTGATTCCCTCTGTTGATAAATATATCTGAAAACATTACTTTCCGGATGTTAACAAAACAGTTTAGTTAAAAGTTAATATTCTAATTCCTGACTTATTTTATCACCACATGTGATTACAATGAACTCTTCCTGACTTCTCACTGAGCAGCCGGCATGCATAAAACAAATAATTTATGCCCCAATTATTAATTTGGCTCTGGATGGGTTCCTGTATGTGAAAATATATATTTCTTGGCAATAACACATATCCAGTTATGAAGAATTATGTTTTTTCCCCTGGCATGGGGGCTGCCTTAAAAATATGGTATATCTGTGGAAGATAAAATCTAAACCCAATTTGCAGTCAGGGATTGCTTGATTGCTTGTTTTGTGGGTTAATATTGGAATTGTAGTCTTTTTTTTCAACAAAGGGGCAAGGAAAATCTTTGAGCAAGATGTTCAAAATATTTGAAGTTCTGTTAATAAAATAATTTCCAAGCCTTTTAAAAATTTTGTACTCCTATGTTTTTCATTGTTGAAGTTATCCTGGTCCTTTAATGCTGTGTATATTTTTAGACCTTTCCTTTGTGGATTCATTTTTAAAACGACATCTTTGTGTTGCATTCAGATACTCTATGCAAAACAGGGACTCCGCATAAGGAAACGACTGACTAGGCTCAACATCAAGGAGAAATTAAATGAGACAAAGATAATCCTGTCAAAGTTGCGCTTCCTGGCTAAAGAGGTATATAACTACAGAATTAAGGGTATAAACACAGCTGAGCAGTCAGTTTTAGCTTTAGCATTTTTAGCTGAGTTTTAGCTTTAGCATTCAAGAAACAGGAAAGAGATGAAGTTCTGTTGCTATAAAGGAGAGGGGTAATTTCCTAGAATGTGCTAGGATTTTCACATTTATATTTAGAAAGAGGGAATTCAAATCCTCCTTATGGGAGTCCTGAAAACATTCTGAAGAATCCTGGTACGGTTTTATACATCACTAGGCATCTGGGGGCCTGATCAGGGTTTCAAATTACTGCAAGCATAGCTCCCAGTACTTTCTAGAAATCTTTTGTTCTCACATTAGTACCTATTGCAATTCAATGAATCCTACAGCTAAATACCATCGCTGACTGGCCCTGCCCCCATCTATTCTCTGCCTCCTGAGTCCCAGCTGATGGGGAGTGAATGGGGATTTTGCAGTAAACTTCCCCTGAAGTAGGGAGGGAATGAAGATTTTACAGTATCCTTCCCCTGCCATGCCCACCAAGCCACACCCACCAAGCCACGCCCACAGGACCGGTAGTAAAAAAAATAGAATCCCACCACTGGTTTAGAAGTTTTTACTGTTTCTGTGAATATACAAAGAATAGCTTGCACAATAAATTTTCTTGGTAATTTCAACAAATGATTTTTTTTTTTACTGTATTTTGTCATCTTCTTCAGCCTCAGTGTAATATCCCTGATGTCCTGATCTGGATGTTTAGTAACAACAAGCGTGTTGCCTATTCAAGGATCCCTGCACAGAATATCCTTTATGCAGTGGTAGAAGAAGAAAAAGGCAAGAACTGTGCAAAGATCCAAACTGTCTTTCTAAAGGTAGACTTATTCATTTCATTATTAGTTGATGAACTAATCATTATTCATCATTAAAGCCAGTTAGTTTTAAAAAAGCAGGATTACTAATCAAATTAAATCAAATATCTTTATTACAGCCTTTAAACAGCCTTTCCAGTAGAAATAGTTTAATTCGGAAATAGTTTAAAAATGATTTAATTCAAGAATTCATTATTGGGGGAAACAAGAAGACAATAAAATAAAACAATATCTGGACTACCTTTGTATAATAGTATGACTTGATGAAGATATTTGACCACCTGATTTGTTAGTGTAGGGTTAGCATCCCTTAAAAAGTAATAAATGTAACATTTATCATTATAACTTTCAAAGTTAGAGATAATTTGGGCGATCAGAGCACAGCTTGTCCCATCGTAAAAAGGGCATCTTATGAAACATGAGTAATTAAAGGTTAGGGTGGTGTATGTAAATTAAAGAAAGAGCAGGAAAAATAGTGAATCTTAATTGAGCAACATCAAGGTAGTAATATTGTTTGGGCTTAAAGGTTCCAGGGTCACGCACTGAAGAGATATTTGCAAAACTGGAAATCTATATGTGGCTTGGAGTAACAAAGTATGTGAAGAACAGTACTGCAGAACTTCCAGAAGAATTCAAACTTATCTATGACAAAACACAGACACTTACAAGCATTCCAAAATATTTCCCACCCATCCAACTGAACAGAGATGGTGAGTTTATTGCTTGGGGAACCCTGGAAATAGAATGGAAATAGAGTTTAGATGACTTTTTTCTAGTACAAATAATCAGAGACATTATTGATTTGTTCATCGTTTTAGCCATAATGGCAATATTTGGTTTTGACTTGGTCTATTGTGTGCTAGTATTATGTACAGGTGAATTAAGCTACTATAACTTGCTGTTCAAACATGGTCTAAGGAATCCAGGGTTAATCTTAAGTTTTACAGCTGCTTGTGGATGTCTCCACTTAATATATAATTTTGGCTCTTAGAGAAGTATTCCCCAAATTTTTCTCTGCTGTGATTCAGCATAGTTGCTTTTGTAAGAATTGTTTCTCTGAAAGCTTTCTCAACAGAAAGTTTATTCTGTTGCTCTGGAAGCTGTTGAATGATTCAATTACACACAATATAGAATCATATCCTAATTAGCATATGGCATTGCTTGAGTTAATCTAAGAAACCTAAGCAGGATTCAATGTGGTTAGTATTTGGATAGAACAATTCCAAGGAATAGCTGTAAACTAGAATAGAAAATCTAAAATACATTCTGGGAGAATACAGAGATTATTTATATATAGTGAATAAGTACATACAGGTAGTTCTCATTTAGTGACCATAATTGAGACAGCTGACTTGTTCACTAAGTGAGGTGGTTGCTAAGTGAAACCAGAACTGTGCTTATCTTTTTTCAGCTTCCCCTTGCTTTACAGACTTGCAAAGGTCACAAATATGAGGATTGGTCATAAATTATTTTTCATCAATGTTATAACTGCAAATAGTCACCAAATAAAGCAGTGACTACCTGTTTAGTTTCCAATTATATGGACATGTCCATGAAATCATTAGAGGTCAAACTTGAAAAAGCTTTAAGCAAATAATTGATTGGAAAGGGCCATTTAGAGATATCCTCTGAAACTTAACATGTCCAATTATATAGATATAATCCCGGTTTACTGTTCACAATTGAGACCAGCAGCTGAGTTGTAAAATGAAGCAGTTGCTAAGTAAAAAAACAACTCTGTGTATGATTTTATTTAAGTTTTCATTTGCTTTACAGATCTGCAAAGGTCCTAAATGTGAGGCTTAAATAAAATCATAAAGTTACTTTTTCATGACCATCATAGCTGCAAACAGTCACTAAATGAGGCAGTTGCTAACTAAGGACTAGTATTGGGATTGGTAATGATTGCCCTACTTAAATTCTGTTCAAAGACAGGTTTGAATTTCTTACAGGTTAGAAATAGAAGTGAAGCAGGTAAAAAAGAAGAGTAGTATATTATGCAGATATATGGCTGGGATTTCTCAATGGATCCTATGAGGCTTACAAGAGATTTCATTTTTAAAATCTACTTATTTATCAAGACAATTCAGCACTTCCTCTTCAACGTACTGGCATGAATAACGCGCAATACTAGTCCTT